CCACCAACATTATTGTTTGGGAGGTTAAACCTAACCTTCAAAATGCAGGTTCGATTAATCGTGTTGCAGCTGCTAACTGGCAAGATTTGCGTGTGCTCCTCCCAGTGTTTAGTATGTTGTGATGATCAGCATATGTTCCGCATACTTCTGCAGATCATATTCAAACGGAAGGTTTACGCCTCCTGTTTTCATATATCCATCCATCCATCCATCCATTATCCGTCATGCTTATCCCAATAGGGGTCGCGAGGGGTGCTGGTGCCTATCTCCAGCTGTCTATGGGCGAGAGGCGAGTACACATGTCGCCAGTCTGTCGCAGGGCAACACAGAGAAAAACAGGACAATCAACCATTCATGCAAGGAGAATTAAGTGAAGCCAATTAACTAACAATCATGTTTTTGGACTGGGAGGAAGCCGGAGTACCCCGAGAGAACCCGCGCATGCTCAGGGAGAAAATGCAAACTCCATGTAGAAAGATTTTTTTTTTAGCAAAATACAAACTTATGTATGCTTGGAAGATCAGCTTTGCATGTACCAAAGTTTGTACATTTTATACATGCAAGCCTTTAGCTGTTCAGTCTCTTTAGTATGTTTGTTTAATAGTAATTGCAAAATTCATCCATAATATTGCAAGTTCTCTTAATATGTTTTAGTTTTTTGTACCACTCAGGATTCAGCAATATTTTTTTAGATGGATTAACAGCTCAGGAATACATAAACTTTGTTGTTCTTCTTTTAGCCATTCTCTTATCCGTGAGGAAGTTTTGCTGTTTATTCAGGCTAGGAGGAGGGCTAGCCTAAATAAACAGCATTCATTTCTTAATTCACTTTTAAATAGACTCCTCATTTATATTTTGCCACTTTCTTTATTTTAAACATCTCAGTGGCACTTAAAGCATTATTTAATGAATGATCCATTTCATAAACTATAAGAAGGACTTTCATGAACTGGGGTCTTTTCTCCTTCCAATAAATCTTCTTAGTGGGTGGACATTGGAGGCAGGGAACACAACAAGCAACCGATGGAGCAGAGGAAAAGTTTGATGGAGCAGAAAGGTGATGAAGAACGCCAAAGGTTGCGGCTGCAAGACAAAGAGCTGCAGGAGATGTCCGATGCAGGCATGTGTCTCAGTATGCATCAGCCGTGGGCATCACTGCTGGTCAAAGGCATTAAGAGGTAAAATATCAAATATAAATCTTAAATTTCAGCACAACTTTTTAATTACATTATTAGAAAAAAAATAAATTTGAAAGATCTGTGATTTTTTTTTTTTTTATGTTTGTGTTTTGTTTACAGGGTAGAAGGAAGGACCTGGTATACGTCACATCGAGGTCGCCTTTGGATAGCTGCAGCCGCCAAAAAACCCACACCTCAGGAGATCGCTGAGGTGGAACAAATGTACCGCTGCCTCTACAAGAAAGGTCAATTTATAATTTATACCAGAAACTGTTCAACAAACCCTGCATTTTTAATTGAGAAACCAAATTACTGCTACTGAATTTAAAGAAACAAATTAATATACAGGTATACGTGATTTTGAAAACTGCTAAATGTAACTATATTTGGGTAAAAGGTTGTATTTTATACCTAAATATCTCTTCCTTTAAATCAGATTCTGCTTTTTTGTAGAGTTATTAGTCCAAAGCTTCTTATTTTAACCGGATAAGATTGAACTGATCCAAAACCTTTTTTGTTTAGAATTTGCTTAGAAAAAATAAGAGTTGTTCACCTCTTTCTATTAGCTTCCATTAGCTTTTAAATTATGAATAACAGTATAATCACTATGATGTAAATATGTAGAAATGGGCTGAAAATGGTGTGGGGCTTTAGTGTTTGACATGTGAATAATTTCTGGTACTACCATCCTTATCTCCGCAGAGCCAAAGTTTCCCAAAGACTATCCCACCGGATGCCTTTTGGGATGTGTTAACGTGATTGATTGCCTCTCTCAAGAGCAGTTTAGAGAACAGGTTGGTGAATTACTATATTTCTATTGAATTAACAGCAATAATTAAATGCTATTCTGAGAATTTAGTGCTGTGGTTGTTTTTTGTAATGTCCTATCATATTCAGTATTTATGGTAGATATTGTAAATTTGTAATTAAAAGCTTACACACTTCCTAACCTGATTCAGAAAGGATTTAGTCATAAATAACTGGACTGGGAAATCATGTTTTTTTTTCTTTTTTTTTTAAATATGGCTGCAGTAAAATTATCCACCAGCAGAGGTCAGACCGCACCTTATCACTGGTTCTTCTACTTGTCAGATCATATTATCTTCCACTAGAGGCAGAATGCACCACAAAAACACAAAGCAAGCCTCTTCACTGCACCCCCATGATCCTGGTATTTATACACCCAGCAGTTCCACCAGTCACTGTGGGTTTGATAGATTGAAATCAGAGAAGATGCAGTTGATTTCCTCTGGATGTGGTGTCATTCTGCCCTGTCCGGCATTGCAACAGCTTATAAACTGTTTTATTTAGACAGCTATTTAGCATAGATGATTTAAAACCTTTCCAATTTAGATTTTATAAATAATCCACTGTCTGTCCTGTCAAGTAGGATCAAGATTGATCCACTATTTTGTCAGTTTATCACATTTAAACTTGGTTGCAGTGCCATGTTTATCTAAGCTGATTTCCCTCTGGCTCTGTGGGGAAATGAGTTAGCACCGTCTCCTTATGCTCTATGTTTCTTAGAAGGCCAGTTAAAATAAACATTGAATAAAATGGGCTTTTTTAAATGTAGCTTCAGCTGAAATTGTAATTAGTCTTTTCTTTGACCTTTTTAATGTACAAAATAATTATGTTGACTCTATTAGCTATAGTGCTAATGTTGCTAATGATGTTTGGGTTTGATTGTGGATGGGTTGTTTTAAGGCAAAACCTCATATTTTATGTTCTTCCATTGCAGTGTTGCACTTTTTGTTTCTGCTCATCTCTGTGAATGTAAGGATGTGGATGTATTTCAGGGATGTTGCATGTAATAAGCTAGCGGATCAAAAAAACAAATTTAGGCTTAAAAAAACACATTCCTTGCTTCTTTTGCACATGTGGAGATCACCGCTTTTGGTTTCTTCAGTCTTACTTTCTCATTTTACTTGCTTTGAACTGGAATTTCTCAATGAAATATGAAATGCGGGTTTTCCTCCTCTAATGTGACCTATAACGTGTCACTCACCCGAATAATGTGTTTGGTTACATGTAAACAGCATTACATTAATACATAACTGAAGCCCCTCTTGACATTTTTGCAACAATCTTTCTTTTTTGTACTAGCAGAAGGCGTAATCTGACACAGTGTAAATTCATGGGTGGGTTCTTTGAGACATTAAGCGTGGTACCTTCTGACGAAACAAGCACTATGCTGCTTCTACCATGCTTTAACACCATCTTTTGGATTTACAGGTTGAAATTTAAACATGATTTCATTAGTCTATAACATGTTATCCAACATGCTTTTAGTAGACCTCAAAATAATATATATATATATATATATATATATATATATATATATTATTTTGAGGTCTACTAAAAGCATGTTGGATAACATGTTATAGACTAATGAAATCATGTTTAAATTTCAACCTGTAAATCCAAAAGATGGTGTTAAAGCATGGTAGAAGCAGCATAGTGCTTGTTTCGTCAGAAGGTACCACGCTTAATGTCTCAAAGAACCCACCCATGAATTTACACTGTGTCAGATTACGCCTTCTGCTAGTACAAAAAAGAAAGATTGTTGCAAAAATGTCAAGAGGGGCTTCAGTTATGTATTAATGTAATGCTGTTTACATGTAACCAAACACATTATTCGGGTGAGTGACACGTTATAGGTCACATTAGAGGAGGAAAACCCGCATTTCATATTTCATTGAGAAATTCCAGTTCAAAGCAAGTAAAATGAGAAAGTAAGACTGAAGAAACCAAAAGCGGTGATCTCCACATGTGCAAAAGAAGCAAGGAATGTGTTTTTTTAAGCCAAGATTTGTTTGTTTGATCCGCTAGCTTATTACATGCAACATCCCTGAAATACATCCACATCCTCACACTCACAGAGATGAGCAGAAACAAAAAGTGCAACACTGCAATGGAAGAACATAAAATATGAGGTTTTGCCTTAAAACAACCCATCCACAATCAAACCCAAACATCATTAGCAACATTAGCACTATAGCTAATAGAGTCAACATAATTATTTTGTACATTAAAAAGGTCAAAGAAAAGACTAATTACAATTTCAGCTGAAGCTACATTTAAAAAAGCCCATTTTATTCAATGTTTATTTTAACTGGCCTTCTAAGAAACATAGAGCATAAGGAGACGGTGCTAACTCATTTCCCCACAGAGCCAGAGGGAAATCAGCTTAGATAAACATGGCACTGCAACCAAGTTTAAATGTGATAAACTGACAAAATAGTGGATCAATCTTGATCCTACTTGACAGGACAGACAGTGGATTATTTATAAAATCTAAATTGGAAAGGTTTTAAATCATCTATGCTAAATAGCTGTCTAAATAAAACAGTTTATAAGCTGTTGCAATGCCGGACAGGGCAGAATGACACCACATCCAGAGGAAATCAACTGCATCTTCTCTGATTTCAATCTATCAAACCCACAGTGACTGGTGGAACTGCTGGGTGTATAAATACCAGGATCATGGGGGTGCAGTGAAGAGGCTTGCTTTGTGTTTTTGTGGTGCATTCTGCCTCTAGTGGAAGATAATATGATCTGACAAGTAGAAGAACCAGTGATAAGGTGCGGTCTGACCTCTGCTGGTGGATAATTTTACTGCAGCCATATTTAAAAAAAAAAGAAAAAAAAACATGATTTCCCAGTCCAGTTATTTATGACTAAATCCTTTCTGAATCAGGTTAGGAAGTGTGTAAGCTTTTAATTACAAATTTACAATATCTACCATAAATACTGAATATGATAGGACATTACAAAAAACAACCACAGCACTAAATTCTCAGAATAGCATTTAATTATTGCTGTTAATTCAATAGAAATATAGTAATTCACCAACCTGTTCTCTAAACTGCTCTTGAGAGAGGCAATCAATCACGTTAACACATCCCAAAAGGCATCCGGTGGGATAGTCTTTGGGAAACTTTGGCTCTGCGGAGATAAGGATGGTAGTACCAGAAATTATTCACATGTCAAACACTAAAGCCCCACACCATTTTCAGCCCATTTCTACATATTTACATCATAGTGATTATACTGTTATTCATAATTTAAAAGCTAATGGAAGCTAATAGAAAGAGGTGAACAACTCTTATTTTTTCTAAGCAAATTCTAAACAAAAAAGGTTTTGGATCAGTTCAATCTTATCCGGTTAAAATAAGAAGCTTTGGACTAATAACTCTACAAAAAAGCAGAATCTGATTTAAAGGAAGAGATATTTAGGTATAAAATACAACCTTTTACCCAAATATAGTTACATTTAGCAGTTTTCAAAATCACGTATACCTGTATATTAATTTGTTTCTTTAAATTCAGTAGCAGTAATTTGGTTTCTCAATTAAAAATGCAGGGTTTGTTGAACAGTTTCTGGTATAAATTATAAATTGACCTTTCTTGTAGAGGCAGCGGTACATTTGTTCCACCTCAGCGATCTCCTGAGGTGTGGGTTTTTTGGCGGCTGCAGCTATCCAAAGGCGACCTCGATGTGACGTATACCAGGTCCTTCCTTCTACCCTGTAAACAAAACACAAACATAAAAAAAAAAAAAATCACAGATCTTTCAAATTTATTTTTTTTCTAATAATGTAATTAAAAAGTTGTGCTGAAATTTAAGATTTATATTTGATATTTTACCTCTTAATGCCTTTGACCAGCAGTGATGCCCACGGCTGATGCATACTGAGACACATGCCTGCATCGGACATCTCCTGCAGCTCTTTGTCTTGCAGCCGCAACCTTTGGCGTTCTTCATCACCTTTCTGCTCCATCAAACTTTTCCTCTGCTCCATCGGTTGCTTGTTGTGTTCCCTGCCTCCAATGTCCACCCACTAAGAAGATTTATTGGAAGGAGAAAAGACCCCAGTTCATGAAAGTCCTTCTTATAGTTTATGAAATGGATCATTCATTAAATAATGCTTTAAGTGCCACTGAGATGTTTAAAATAAAGAAAGTGGCAAAATATAAATGAGGAGTCTATTTAAAAGTGAATTAAGAAATGAATGCTGTTTATTTAGGCTAGCCCTCCTCCTAGCCTGAATAAACAGCAAAACTTCCTCACGGATAAGAGAATGGCTAAAAGAAGAACAACAAAGTTTATGTATTCCTGAGCTGTTAATCCATCTAAAAAAATATTGCTGAATCCTGAGTGGTACAAAAAACTAAAACATATTAAGAGAACTTGCAATATTATGGATGAATTTTGCAATTACTATTAAACAAACATACTAAAGAGACTGAACAGCTAAAGGCTTGCATGTATAAAATGTACAAACTTTGGTACATGCAAAGCTGATCTTCCAAGCATACATAAGTTTGTATTTTGCTAAAAAAAAAATCTTTCTACATGGAGTTTGCATTTTCTCCCTGAGCATGCACGGGTTCTCTCAGGGTACTCCGGCTTCCTCCCAGTCCAAAAACATGATTGTTAGTTAATTGGCTTCACTTAATTCTCCTTGCATGAATGGTTGATTGTCCTGTTTTTCTCTGTGTTGCCCTGCAACAGACTGGCGACATGTGTACTCGCCTCTCGCCCATAGACAGCTGGAGATAGGCACCAGCACCCCTCGCGACCCCTATTGGCATAAGCATGACGGAAAATGGATGGATGGATGGATGGATATATGAAAACAGGAGGCGTAAACCTTCCGTTTGAATATGATCTGCAGAAGTATGCGGAACATATGCTGATCATCACAACATACTAAACACTGGGAGGAGCACACGCAAATCTTGCCAGTTAGCAGCTGCAACACGATTAATCGAACCTGCATTTTGAAGGTTAGGTTTAACCTCCCAAACAATAATGTTGGTGGTTATTGTGGCTAGAAGGAGAGATACGAACAATTACAGAGAAGAGAAAAATACAGCATCCCTATCAAATTTAGAATTTTAGAAAATTAAATAGTACAGAGAATTATGGTTTATAATTGTCTGTACTATTTAGTTTTAAAATAAGCAATGCTATTTTAAAACTCGTTGCAAAGCCCAATGTTGCTGCTACTGGATCATTACTGTTCAACACGGAATTTAGTGGAAAACCGAGTATTTTCTATTTTTTTCGTATGTTGTCCAGGTTCATTTTTAAAAGTGGATTTGGTTGCATCTCCTTACATTTATCTGTGCATACTTTTTATCATAACCATCAGATCAGGTAAAAAAGTAGTGCGAATAAAGCCTGTCTTTTGAAAACTGAAATAATCTAGTTAGGCAATCCCAGCACTCGTACATCTAGTGGTGCTTTATCCACAGAAGAATGGACATTTCTCTGGGTTAATTAATGTCAAAATGCATCATTAAATCTTATTGTTTTTAACAAAAAAAATAGCTTCACTCAGTATGTTGACTGACTGTAACTCTCTTTTTATCAAATTCCGATATTAAAACCGGCTTATAGCTCATCTGCCTAACTGCTTCTTTCATAGACAGTGCTACCTGTGGAGCTAGTTTACCAGAACCTTTTCTAAGATAGGGTGTAATTATGGAAAATTATGGATCAGTGCTTCCATGTTATTTTAGTTTGTCTTTTTTATATCTTTAAACCCCACTCAGCCTTGGCAGAAGGCCGTTCACATTGAATCTGGTTCCGCTGGAGGTTTCTTCCTGTTAAAAGGAATGTTTTCCTTTCTACTGCCTCTGAAGGGATGCTTGGCCAAAGAATTTGCTGCAGCATCAACACAACAATGCAAGGGAATGTTGCTACTGTCGCTACATGCTCATCCAAAAGCAGCAGGTCCTGCTTTGTGAATTGCTGTTATATAAATAAAGCCTACTAGTGGATCGACATGGCATGGGATTTATAGTGTCTTGGCGGAGCCCTAACTGGACCTTCTCTAAAGCATATTCACTGATACCTCAGTAAGTTATTTTTTCAAGACATTTTCTTATATTAAGGAAAAGAAACCCATAAAACATAAACCCATCACTTTGTTCTTTCAAAGTACTTACTTCAGGTGCAGACTGCTTAATGTTTGGGTTGACCAGCACCCTGAGGTTCTGCATTCCACCTTTTCTCTCAGAGTAACCTGGAGACTCTGTTGTTGACCCACTGTTCATAGCTTTGAGGGTCTCATCCAACCTGAACAAAATATTTATAAAAATGTTAAACAGATTCAGCTGTTTGTAAACATGCCTGAAAGGAAGGTGCAGACTAGTGATCATACTTGTTGTAATACTCATTCATATTGTTTCCCTCATCAATCACTTGTCTACCAGCGAAATCCAGGGTGATCTTCCTGTCCTTACGAGAGGAGTGGCGAAGTTCTCGCAGATCTTCTTCCATTTTCCTCAGCTTCTCCCTCTCATTTGGCGACAGCCACTGATTGGATTCAGTAGCAAAGTAATCTGACTCATCGTCCAGGACCTGCGTCCGTCTGACACTAGAGTCGAAAGGGGAAGTGAATTAAACAGGTAAATTATGATGAAGTGTCATATTTACAGCTATTGACATGTCCAGTTAGCCTGTTTCTGCCACCATACAGCAGTAAACTTCATGATACCTGTTCCTGTCATATTCCAGCAGTTTCTCTTTGTGCTGAACTGCTTTCTCCAACCCGGCTTTCATCTTAGCCTCCTGATGTGGCAGAAGCTCCCTTTCTGCAACATCTGGCAACAAGATACAGAAACCTTTGAGTACAACACGAGTTAAATAAATATTAATTCATGAGCTGAGTCTGAGCAGCTTTTATTCTGACCTCCCATAAGCTTCTTCCTGAGTTTCTGACTTTTGTTGGAGTCTCGCTGTAGAATCTCCTGCTCCTCTTTTGTGCAAACCTGAAATAAGGAGACAAATAAGGAGGAGTTATAAGAAGCCAAAAGCTAGGAAACGGAGTGCAGGTTATTTTTTCCTCACCAAGCTTCCGCAGAAGAGGCAGGGTCCCGAGCCCTCCTGCTCACACACAATACGCCCACAGCTGATGCAGTTGTTAATGAGGGCGTGCTTTTGGGCAAGGCACTCGCAGGCGTGTCGCCCTGGGAGTAAAACTGTCAGCTTGTCCTGACCCTCTTTAGCGTAAAGGTTAACATACTTGGTTTTCTTCTTGGTTGATGAAGTGTTACTGTTTTCCTGGGCCTAAAAACAATGATGATTGAATAAAGCAAACCAGTACACTGAACAGAGAATATACGGTATAAGAAAAACAGCATTAGGGTCAAATATCTGGAAAATGTCACCACTGAACTGGCTTAGTTAGGCATCCCACAGTTTTCTGAGGTTAGAGAAAACTATAAACAAATAAGCATAGATAGAAAAAATCAACTGGTATAAGGAGAATGAATGGAAGCAAAAATAAACAATTTTAATTCAAACATAATGCATGTAGAGAAAATTATTGGACAAGCAGGTACTTTTAGTTTGACTTTATTTAACCAGAAAAGATCTATTGAGATTGAAAATAAAATTTAAAAACCATAACCTGGACAAAAGCAGCACTAAATAACTCGCATATCAAATTCAAAACTCGATAAGACATCACTGATCACTAATGAATAGATAAATGGAAAAAAGTCCAACGTTAAATTCTAATTCTTTACCATATGATTATTTCTGTGCTTGTTTTGAAGAAACTTTAATGCTTATTGGATTTTAGCGTATCAGTATTTGTGCACTGACAGAGGTCACAGCTTAGGGAAAGCAACAGCTGTTAAGATCTGCAGAATTATTAAGCAGCTTCTGACCAACTCTGTTGTTGAACTTGTTTAAAGTATTTTAGGGGGAAATGAACAATTTTGAAATTTTAAAGATATTTGGGTCATCATAATATAGAGAAACGGTTTGTTGTAAAAAGTCTACAGGCTCATAAAACGAAAAAAAAGGGAGGCTAATTAGCTTCTGCATACTAGGGATGAGTATTGGCATGGGAGTCATGATACTTGGGTCAGAATAAGATATTATCATCATATATTGCAATATTTTTCCCAGCTATCAAAATAAAATGTATAGATAAAAAAGCAAGTCCTGTATTTATTCATCAGAAGATATTAATTGTGTAGTTATTTTGGTATCCATGTTCTTTGAGGTTTGAGTCAGTCCGTCTTCCACTGTGACTCCCCCAACTACAGATATGGCGCTGCGCCGCAGAGCAAAAGGACTTCATACTGCCATCTGCCAGAGTGGCGTTGCTGAGGTAGCACATTTGCCCCCATTGTTTTAGGTGAAAATTTTTATATATATAAAAAATAATCGATACTAGTAGGAACTGAAAGATCAATATTATATTGGGCAGCCGAAAATCGCAATATAACGCCTAATCGATTTTCCCCCACACCTGTACTGACCAGAGAAGTACCAACTATAAAGCTACTAGGAAGCCATTCTCGTTTAGTTTTGTCATATCCCAAAACTGCAGCCCGTCTAGAGAGCCCAGGAGTAAAAGTTTTTCAGTGTGCAGAGACATTGGCTGCAAAGGTAAAGCGAAAAGGATTCTCAACAAAGATGATTAGTTTCCCCTCGGTTGGACGTGAGCTGTAACTTGACTTTTAAACAGATTTAAATGGTGCTTGTATGAACCAACAATATCAAAGTGTAGCTAACTAGACATTTTGAATTACAGATGGACTTTGTCTAAATCCATCTGGAATTACAGATGGATTTTTTCTTTTTTTTTTAAGCAGCGATACAAAAAAGAATGCAGCTTTTTAAGAGGATACTAATTCAGGACAATGTTTCATCACATGTGTGGAAGTACTCCACATTAAAGGTTTTCCAGATGAGGGTATAACCATAAAGTTCTTTTTCTCACCACCGAAGGCCTGTTGGGACTTTTGTAAGTGGTAAGAGCTGCGATAAAGTAAAACATCAAACCCCTCATCTGGGAAACTGCTGTTGCTGCTTCAAAAAAAGCAAATGATAAAGAAATTAAGACCAGGGCTGTAAGGCTTGTGTTGAAAAAAGAGTGACCAAAATGGTCTCCGATTTCAGATCAATAGTCCCCTTTCTGTGACTAAAAATCATTAATTGTTTGGATGTATTTATTCTGTCAGGAAATATATATGTTTATGAGGATACGTGTTATTCTCTTTTTAAAGTAAGTTTTTGTAAAAATTAAGACTTGCAACAGGAGGACGTAGGTTTAGACTTAGACTTGCCAAAGGCAACTCAAACCTACCAAAAATAGGTTTGGTATTAATGTATACAGCATAGGAATGCATTCTCATACTACTAAAAACAACCTGATACTTATTCAGAGCAATACCATTTTTATCAGCTGTACTTTATCCAAGTTAAAGGTAAATGTTTTAAATTAAACAGTGATACAAAAAAAACAGAGCTCTTCCTCAAAGGAACTAAATCAATATTCACTTCATGTTAACAGTCTGAGTGTCACCCTGGATAGCTTTCTATCTCTTATGTCTCACATCAATAATTTCACTTTGTTTGCATATTTCCATTGGCCTATTATGAAAAATCTCTGTTCTTTCCTTCATTCTGCAGCCATACCTGTTCTGTCTTGTCTGAAACCATCTCTCATCAGACATCCGTAATACTGACACTTCACCTGTTTAAATCCAGACTCCAAACACAACCCTTAAAGACTCTTTATTCTCTGTGATTTTAACTTTTGTTTGTAAAGTGACCTTGAGTGTTTTTAAAGCTTTCTAATAAAATGTATTACTATCAATATTATTACTAAAAGTCGTTCTTTGTCTCCTTAAAATTTAATAGACTATGATTGAAACTCTTCATCATAACTACGCCTTCATCTAGTACCCATATTGGTGATCAATATCCAGACTACTGAAATATAAGAACTCTTTAAAGGCTAATGTATGTGTGTCCGTAATACAGTGCATGTAGTGGTGTGTTTTTGTGAGTCTATATGTACAAATTTGACACTTATTACTTCTTTAATTTCATTATAAAAAACAAATGATCCAATGCTTCTAAATCTATGACTGTTACTAGAAGGATTACTGTCAGTTTTACAACTGAAATGTAAAAATAAAGAAAACAAAGATGTGTGCTAACCCTCATTAAATCCATGGGGGTTTTGACTGGCTCAGGTTCTGGCTCCGTTCGGGTCAAAGTCATCACTTCCTGCTTGTTTCGCCCCTTACGTTTGGACTTCTTCTGGGCATCTTTGGTGGTGTCTTGCATTTCTAGGAAAACAGCATTTTAAATTTAGGAAATCACAAATGCAAAGGAGGTATATATTATTCCAGTTATGTTTTTATGGTTATTTTGTAGATTATCTTAATTGTTTGTAGGTCTTTAGATTAGAACAGTTTTTTGTTTTTTTTTGCATGTTTCTTTAACAAAAATTCAATACTGAGCCGATGTTTATCCTCCCACCTGTCGGTGAAGCAGAATCTTTGAGTAGAAAAAGACCTGCGGTGTCCGCACTTCGTCTTTGACTTTTCTTCAGTCTGCTTAGGAGCTCATTTATAAACTGGCCCTTTTTTCCATCGGTACCCTGAAGAAGGTCTCCCACATACTCTTCAATCTCCTCAGGTTTCTCAATGGAGAGAATGTAACTGGGAAGCAAAGAGTTTAACACATTTTAAAAAGCTGGCAGTCTTCTCATCATTTTTTTTTTTATTGCTGCCCTTCTAAAAGATGTTTTCTCTTTGATGATAAAACAATGGAATTTAAACTGTAAGTGTTTCTAATTAACTCAAAAGTGAAGAAATGTAGTTAGATTTCAGATGCACCAGTGTTACAAACAGGAATGTTACCAAATTAGATATCATATCACCTGGAGTACAGTGGGTGTATAATAGTTTATTATGATTTAAAAATTAAGTTTTCCCCATGAAAGTTGTAGAAAATCATAATAGTGATATATTAACATTTTCAAATAACCTATATTCATATAAATCTTTAATAACTTCAGAGTTCCTATTAGAGTTGAATAAGCTACTAAACTAGTTATTTTTTTATTGATAAAAAAAAAAATATCTTGACTCTATAAACTGTTTTTTTATTACTCAAATTTTTACACTTAAAAGGAGGAAAAGTTTATTTACTTTTCACAAGTATAAATATTTAAAACACACTAAAAAGAGTATGGAAAGCTCAGCTCCGGGGAGCTAACTGTTAGCTGACAGTTAGCTTTTAAACAAACAGCTGCTACGAAAAAAAGAAGAAAAAACAAAAGAAAGAAGAAAGCCTGACCTCGTAACACTTTTAATTGAGCTAACATAACGCCCACTGTCGTTATGTCATCTTATATTAAACGTTTTATATTAACAGCCTACTTAGTAGAGCAGCATCATTACTAGCTTGCGTTCAGCTTGTGACAGGTAATTAAAAAAAAAAACACACAAAAAAATGTAAAGCTTACTTGACAATGTCTTCTGATGCCTCCAAGCCAAATTGGTGGTTTAACTGGTCAGCACACCACTGCAGCAAAGCTTCAGTCATTTTACCCACAAAACAAATTAGGCGAGTTGAGAAAAATTGAAATCAAGGTTTATTTCGTGATCAAGTTTCTAGCCGGTACGATATCAATGGTGCACACGGTGTCACACTCTTCTGCTCCGACTCACTCTGACAACTTATCAGGCTTTTAGAATTCGGTATTTTCTTGTCTAGACTTCTTCAGAGTAGCTTCCTTGTGTCATGAACGACTTTTTTCCTTGCATTGAAAATATGCAAATCTCTTTTATAATTAACCAATGTCGCTCTGAGCCCGAGGACAAACATTAGAAAATGTTTTTCTAATTATGCAGTAAATTCAAACTAAAATCAATAATTCGTGCCTATTTTAAAGGAAGGCGCAAATTTCTTCTTAACCAATATTCAGATTTTCGGGATGAAATATCGTAAAATGATTTATGGTGTTATCTCTTCTAACCCACTTTACTGTCTATATACTTTCGAAAACAAAGAAAAAAAAAATAAAGGCAACTAGACACTAAAAATAATCTAAAAAAAAAAAGAAAGAAAAGAAAAGCTTTGGTTGGGCTTTTTAATATGGCCACAAGATGGCAGTTTTGTTCCAGTTTATTTTAAGTGGGTACAGGTTAAGACTTTATGTGGGATTATTGTCTAATAGAGTAGTTTTATCGTATGATTTCCGAACATCACCTTTTTTTTTATATAGTTTTCAATCCCTTTTATGTTTTTTATT